AAAGAGAGTGACTGATCAGATTTACCCAGCCAGCCTTCATGTCTAAGGCAGGTCTAGAGTTCATGGTCTCTTGATTTCTAGTGTGGTCTTACAACTGAGTGTAAAACTGGCCCTCAAACTAAGCTTACTGTCTATCAATATGATTGCCTCTTGTAGCATATAAAAGTAGAACTCTCTGCTCTTATGAGCTTGCAAATTATAATACAGCATTCTGACCTGGTTTGCAAGCTGCAGTGAATCAATTATTCATCACAATTATCTAACCATGGTTTATTGAATATACCACAACTGATCAGCTCCACACAACTTGCTTAGCCAAAACCAAGCAGAAGAGCATGGATGCATTTGCAGAGCATGCTCAATTCTTAATGAGAGTTTACAAATCACAGTTGTTGCTACTTCTCGAAAGTAAAAATCACAGAACCCGAGAGGTGAGCCAATGAGCAATGCATATCTATATGTAACTGCTTTTATTTTTATTAGGGCAAAAGTTGGAAAAATTGCATGGTATTTTGTTCTTAAAAATGATAATGGCAGCAAGACTTCTATACCAGATGAAAACTACAATGAGCTGATGGAACTGGCTCGCAACTGGCTCGGAACTGGCTCGGATGGTTAAAGTGATGGCTCTGAAAGACATTGGCTAAATGTATAATACAGTTGGAAACTGCTTTTGGACTTTTTGCATGAAGCCAAAAAAACCAAAATCATGACATATGGATTTGTGTATTCGTAATATTTATAGATTTTTTTTAAAAAAAATGGAGGTTACATTGTAATTGTAGAGCATGAGCTGAACTCAAATTTTATTTGTGTCTGTTTTAAAAGAAGTCAAAATCAGAAGTCATTCTGATGTGTTTGTATTTTTGTTTTTATATTTTTTTTATTTTATTATATCTCTTTCTGCCAGTTCTATCCATTTTCTGCCTTCCTTTCTATTCTCTCTCTTCACTACTGGTTTTCTATGGGTTTTTTATTTTTTATTTTAAAAAAACTTAATAAATTTATATAAAACAATCAAAGCAGTTTTGGTGTGCCATTAAATGAAGGATTATTTTTTTTAAAAAAAAAAAAATGCCTGCCAAAGTAAGCAAAGTTAAATTAAATGACCAGCCCAGTGTTTCTCCATCTTTGTCACTTAAATATGTCTTAATACATCTTAAGATGTCTCTTTTGCACCTTTTTAAAAAGAAACTTTAAAATGGGGGAAGAAGCTAAGAAGTATGAGCTAGCGAGTTCCAGAAGTCCTTGGAGGTTCTGAGGTATGGCCTTGGGGGTCATTGCACATGATCCAAAAGTTGCCCACGGATATTAAATTAATATCTATCAAAGGATAGAACTAAAACACAGAGCCCGGTGAGATTCAGATAATTCCTAAACTGTAAACAAATATAGTTTATTCAACACAGAGAGGTTTATTCAATATATCGCAGTCGCTGAAACTTATGCTTAATAATCACATAATCTCTAGTAACTTTTTGTACACTGAGCAGAGTAGATGAAGGATAGGAACCTGGAAGGATACCATATCTGAAGTCTTGCCAGGGAGATACATCTTTGGTGTGGCCTGCTTATTCTTCTTCAGTTCCAATCTGCAGAGGTGATAAAATGTTTGAAGTTTCCTGGAGACATCTGTCTATAACTTTTACCAGGGTGAATCAATTCTGTCAGCCACTTGTAGGACATTCCGTTTTACCTTCATGACACCCTGTGGAAGGAAACTAGAAGGGCTTTCATTTGAATATTATTATTATTTTTTACAGGTCAGCCCTTTCTGTTACACGGAATCTGAATCCATGGGGCATTCTACAGCCATTGTCAGTCTTCCTCACTTACAGCAGCATCTATCTTTGAATATGTACGTACATATAATCCTTATTAATTTCTTAAGGATAACATTTTTGTGTGGCCAGAAGGGGCTATTGCCTAGCAACTACAGCACATGGTCTGAAATTAAGGTTGGGCCAAAATGCCCAAAAGAGACAATACCAGAAGGAATTTAAAAAATAAACCCATGTGCTCTCTTTCCATAAATATGCCATACTATATTTTGTTAAAACTGAGGTAAACATCGTTCTAGAATTACTCTACCTTTATGCCTTAAATTAGCTTCCAAGCACCTGACATGAAATATAAAGCTTGCTGTCAGAAGAGATATATCTTTTTAATTTAAATGAAGAATCATTAGGAATAGCATGTGTATATTATGCCTTTTAAGCTACAGGATCCACAAAACCCTAACACTGTTTGCTGGAGCAGCTAATTACTGCAATGTCATGTGTCAAATAAATACTGGGATTTGGATGACAGATCTAAAACCCAAAAGAGCTGATGCTGAATCTTAATATGTAATTTCCTGATGCTAATAAACAATGCAATTATTCCACGTTCAAAGGAAGATGATCTTTTTGTGTGCAAGTGTATGGGTGTTTTAACTCCTTTTGTTCCAGACCGTGTTTTTCTTTCTCCAGTCTGGGATCCTAGCCCAAAGCTTAATCTTGGACTGAATACATCATGTCGATTACACCAACCCTCTTAGAAATGCCATACATATTGCTAGGTAGGGGGATCCCTTCGGCATTCTTTACAAGTTGTCTGCTCTTAAACCTGATACAATATTCACCAAAGCATTCCAAGTTGCATAACAGAAGCGTTACATAAAGAAACTTCAGTTGCACTGCTCTGGTTTAGCACAAGGCACAAGAGCAACTCCTGGTGTGGCCTGAAAGCAGAGTGTTGTGTCATATCCTCATTATATTGCATAAATGAAACTATTTTTTTTTTTAACCAGTGCTCCTTACATTTCAATAGGTCCGTCGCTTTGCACTCCTATACAGCTCACAGTCCAGATGAACTCAACCTGCAAAAAGGAGAAGGCGTTCGTGTTTTGGGGAAATATCGTGAAGGTTGGCTAAAAGGAATGTCTCTGATCACAGGAAAAGTTGGAGTCTTCCCCAGCAATTATGTTGCTCCATTTTTCAGGTTTGACCCATGCTATTTATAGATTGAGAGATGTAGTTGAAATTAGTAGAAATATCTGGAGAGGGATTCTTCCACAGCAGGGGGGGGGGGGGAAATGCCACTGTGGGGCTTGAATTAGTTTAGGATGAGTGAATAAGATTGGGTGGTAGTGTTGCCTACATACATTTAGCTCCTGATGACATGTAACCTTAATGCATCTGCCTGGGACTATTTTGGCCAAAAAGAAATAAAAATCAGTTTTGACTGCTAAGTTTCTTTTTTCTTTTTCCCCTTTCTGGATCTGGAAAATAGTTACATGTTGTAGCTCCTAATTATTATTAGTGTTTTCCCTTTTCTGCAGCATAAAAGCTGAACTATACAGTAGTACCTAAAAATAATATTTTGCAGCTACACGGGAGTGAACAAGTCAGTAAGGACTAGTATTTAGATAGTACAGGCATGCTGAGCTTGTATATGAAGGCCAGATACATAAATGTCTATTAAAAAATTGTATAAAACAATCACAGGTCAGTTGCTTGTATGATACTGAAATGCCACTCTAAAGCTTGGTGTTCTTGCTATCCAGGGTTCTCTTTCATTTTATTTTCAATGAATAGCTTATCATTGGTACTATAGATATAATTGCTTGTCCAAAGGGATTATTAAATCAAAGCTATGCATTTACTAATTGAAACAATACATTTGCTACCAAATGTTGCCATAGATCAGGGGTCTCAAACACAATTTACCTGGGGGCCGCTGGAGGCAGAGGCTGGGTGAGGCTGGGCCGCATAATATTATACTTTATATTATACTTTATATTATACACTAATATTATACTTTCATATCACGGTGGGGGCCACAGGATATCGTCCTGCGGGCCGCAATTGGCCCACGGGCCATGAGAATGAGACCTCTGCCATAGATCAACACAAGGCCACAGAAGGACTTGTTTGTTTTTGTTTGTTTGCAAGCAAATAAATAAGAATTGAAGTCTCTGGGTACCACCATGAGAAGCTGATCCAGGAGGAGGCATCCACAGTCAATGAAACTTTTTTTGCAGCATTTGCTATGCAGTGTGCTTTTGTGGGTGATTAAATAACCATCAAGAAACCTTTTAAATGAAAACCTTTTATAATACCTTGAAAATTAAAACATTTCTTTCTATGCCATGAATGAACAGATTAAATGCACGAAGGACTGCCATGGTTGAATAATGCTCAGCATGGATCTCAAGGCAATCCTAGGGATAGAAATGGCATTACAATTATTTCAGTCCAAAAGGTGAAATAGTAAATCACTATTATCTTCTGTAAGATTGCCAAGTTTTCAGAAGACCTGTAGAAGCTCCTACAAAGGCTTGGTTAACCTGCCCATTATTTACTCTTTCAAAACACGTATTTTTAAAATGAAGCATATTTATTGTTTAATTCATTCAGGGACATCTAAGCTAAATAACCAGAACACTCCGTAAGAACTATTATATTTATGGAAATGAACACACCACTTTTCCCCATGAAAAATGGACCTTGACTATCATCTCTTAACTATCTGTCCTATATTTTTTTTCAAAATCTTGTCTCCTAGAATCCCCAGTAGAAAGCAATGGGGATAAGGAATATTTTAAAAAGGTGAGGAAAAAATGGGGGGGTGTTTAGAAAAAACAGTAAGGGGGAGGGGAGAAATAGCTTGTTTACATCCAAGCCTTGTTTATGATGTCCAAATTATAAAGAGTTAGTTACAAAAACTGGTCTATCAAGTCCTGTTAGCTACTTTGCTTACATAAGAGCTTTCATGCTCAGAGATAACTTATTTCTGTATTCTGTATTGTAAGCAACCTTGAATGTTGAAATAAGCAAAACGTTGAGGTATAAATTCAACAATAAATAAATAAAATATATCAGATCAAGCTGGACAAACTGTATGGGAATTATGTTGCCTTCGTGCTATAGCCTTCTGAGAGGTATAGCGTCTGGCTGTAAAAATGGTTGCTCAATTAATCAAAAAAAGATGTTGAGACTTTGGGAAAAGTTCAGAGAAGAGCAACTAAGATGATCAAAGGCCTGGAGATTGAACCATATGAAGAACGGCTGCAGGTTTTGGGGTCTGGCTAATCTAAAGAGAAGAAGAATTAGGAATGACATGATAGCAGTATTTCAGTATTTGAAGGGCTGCCACAAAGAAGAGGTCAAATTAATCTCCAAAGCACCAGAGGGGCAGGACAAGAAATAATGGTTGGAAACCAATCAAAGAGAGAACCAGCCTGGAATTAAGGAGAAACTTCCTAACAGCGAGGACAATTAACCAGTGGAACAGCTTGCCACCAGAAATTGTGGGCACTCCATCGCTGGAGGTTTTTAAGAAGAGACTGGACATTCACTTGTCTGAGATTGTATAGGTTCTCCTGCTTGAGCAGGGAGCTGGACTAGAAGACCTCCAAAGTCCCTTCCAGCTCTATTCTATTCTAATTTTAATTAAATTGAATCTCAGTCCCATCTAGCACAGCACGAAATATGCCTCTAAACTACAGTATTTATTTCCTTGCTTACTCAGTTATATACTTACAGTATTTTATATCCTATATTGCTTGCTCTCTAAGGACTCCCAGTTGCTTACAAAATTGAACATAAAATCACTAAATAATTAAGTTCAAACATAACTACATAAGCGTACTAATGTCCATATGATGCAGTCATGCTTAGTTCCAGAAATCATAAACACTTAACAATAATTAAAAGCTTTGCAGGAAAGCTTGCCTTTCTGAGTTTCACCAGGGACAGGGCTATTAAGATCTCTGGAAGGAAGTTACTCCACAAGGCTGGAGCATAAATTGAAGCACACCAATTTTGTCTCAAACCCCCCTCCCCTCTAGTTTTACAGAGAGTGGGAATCAATATCTCAACTCGCAACGAACACACGATATCCCTTCACCCTGAATTAGCTGAAACAAAAATCAAAGGAAATTTAACCAACACAAAAGGTCTTATCTTTTAGGTTACTCTGAGTTAACGGACTCTAGCGGTGAGGCTAACTAGGAATATTAGAACTTCTATAAAACTGCATATTCCCCACCCTTTAGTCAGACTATTGAGACAATAAAAATGAATTTTCTACACAGTTTTATTTCACCAGAGAAAACTATTCTTACAATAGTTTGATAATTTAGAGATTTTTTTCATCTTTGGCAGTTCTGAAAAATTAACACTTGAGTTTTAGTTTATTGTTCCATATATTTTAGTTTATTGTTATTTTATATTGTTAGTTTATTGTTATATTGTTAGTTTATTGTTATTTTATATATTTTAGTTTATTGTTCCATATATTGTTCCATATATTGTTCCATATAGTTTATTGTTCCATATATTTTAGTTTATTGTTCCATATATTAAAGTTAGATGACAATATGTCTAAGGTCCTGTATAAAGCTGAAGCTACAGTTAAAAGCACGTGGAGATAAATTCCCTAATGCTCTAAATAGGTTCTGTTTTAATATGAAATCAGCTCAAAGCAGCCTCTCTCTTCTGGAAATAGAAAACGGCTAATATGGATATGCTTAGCAGGCCTGACTATTCAGTAAAAAGTGAGTTACTAAAGCAAACAAGAGTCACTTGGTTGAGATAGGTGGTCATACAAATTGAAACAATCAATGAAAATAAAATAATTCAAGGTAGTAAAGAAATATGTAGGAACATCAAGCGTTGGAGAGGTTTATTTTAATAGAATAAATAATTGTAAAACAGCGTTGGAAGGAAATTCCTTGCATTCTCCATTTATGCTACTATGAATTTTCGGTTTACTCATTCATTGATTTGCTTTCCAGTCTCAGCCTGTTCTTGAAAAGTATCCTCTTAATCATCATTAACTGAAAAATAAGATAATCTGCCAGTAATCACCTCTAACTGAAAAGCAAAATATAATGTTCTATTTAAGGATGAGTAAAACTGAGCTCATCTTTCCATAAATTTTTTGATGTTTTTTTCCCTACATTTAGTGGAAAAAGCAAAATAGCTGAGCAAAATGTTGAAATATTCGAGATCTGAATTTGGGAATATTTTTCCCTGTCATTCTTTTAGAAATCAAAGCAATAATTTGTAAAAGAATGTGTGACCTTCCCAGCAATTTTGATAAACTGTGTGTTCAGTTTATGGATAAAAGCCAGTTCTGAGAAGTGTCAAGTTCTCACAATTTAGAGATTCTTAATCTTAATTTCAAGCATGTCTGGATTTCAACTCATAGATCCAAAGTTGATTATTTTAAGTTTTATCCAAAACAACTTCCAGACTTTCCCTTCCCTTCTTCCTTTGCAAACTTTTCCTTAATGATATCACTTGTCTATTTCCCTCCAAGATGAGATTTATAAACACAAACGCAAATGAACCAGTTGTAAAAAATAAAATAACATTAGAAATAGGTACAGGTTGAGAGCACAAAATGAAAACAAAATCTAACCTTAAATAAAATTTAGTGCCTAGTCTCTTTAATCAGAATGGAAAATAGTAGAAGAGAAATTACATAGTTGTTCATGGTGCATCTCAACCATATTATCTAGATAACAATTAAGTTTGAATGGATCTCTCAAGCCTCTATATTAATTTTCAGAGGACAATTTGTCATTCTTCAAAATGGTGTTTCTCGAGATAATTATGTTACATTTGGATAATTGAATAGTGTAATCCCTGAACATATGAATTGCAGGTAAACAGTGAAAAAAATGACAGGTTTGAGTCTGTGGTTTGAGATGTGGAATGCTCCTACAGCTACCTAACCAACCATGTTATTATTTTATGCATTTCTTCCCTTGTGTTTTATCATGTTAAATTGTTCAGTTTAAACTGGAAACACCAAGGCCACTTTGGGCCCAGAATTATGCTTGCTGATATACACTAAATTTCTTCTCAATAAGGAGAGCCAGTTATTCTTCATTTTTCAGGCACATTTTATTATAAGATGACCTCTAATTACACTCAGGCCCAATAAAGTGAACAATCCAACATAGATCCCAGGAGATTGGAAGCAGTTTTACAAAGTACCTTATCTATGAACACTAATATTATGCATCATCCTTTTGAAATGTTCATAATAAACTGACAACTTCAATATTGTGATGAATCATTGTCCCATGATTAAATCATATTTTTTTCAAAGCAAAAGCTAGGCATGGGAATGTTATCAGAATGGATTACAAGGTAGTTGTTTTTCCCCCCTCTTTTCCCTTAGAAGAAGCACAAATGCTGCTGTTTAAAGTTCACAGCAAATCAGGACCACTTAGGTTACTAAAGCAATTCTGCTCACGCAGAAATTGCTGGCAGTCTCAACAATTTAACAAATGTAAGAACTCTGTGACCTTGTTGGCCTCGTTGGGAAAAACATGAGCAAAGAAACAATCAGATTTGCACTGCAAAAAATTTGGAAGGAAAAAGTAGGAAACAAAATAATTGATTGATTTTTATCTTTCAAGATCACTGCTTCCTCAGTGTTTCATCATCAAGCTTTTTTAAAAATAAGCAGTAGACACAACTGTTTGTTTTTGCCAATTGGGCATCAGAGGTACAGTAGTGCTGGCTATTGGTGGGGGGGAGGTGTTTAACCTTAAAATGTAAATAATGAAAAATTATTATTTAAGAATCAGGCCCAAATTGTTCGTCCCTAATGCTTTTTAACCCCCTTGAAACCAATGCTTGCTTACTGAAGCTTGAAATCTAGTTTGTCAAAGCTCCCATTTGGGGTTACAATAAAGAATCAAATACCAAATTGCATTAGACTAGCCACAGCCTTTATAATGTACAACTGAAGATCAACTGAACCTTGCTTACAGAAGATCAACTGAAGCTTTCCATATTCAAGTGATGTGTTTGTCCCTTCTGAAGCTGTGTTCAGGCATAATTAAACTGCCTCAGGCCTTGTGTAAAGGTTCTGATATAAGTAGGTAGTATTTCCTGTAACTGTTTAAAATTAGCTAGCTGAGCTGCTCTTCAGTTCTACCCACTGCCTGAATATAAATAGTTCTTCTTCCAGAGGGGTCTCCTTTTCAGTTATTAGCATATGTTCTGCTTGTGGGCCTCTAGAAACGTTTATTGTTCCTACGACTATTAGAAAAGTCAGTCTGTTTGGGTCAGTGATGATCCATTCTCACAACCAGGCAAGATTCTGACTAATATCCTGTTTGCGCCTCTTTGTCTCTTGTTTCTGGCATGTTTGAAACATCCCTGTCCTTATAAGTTTTGCCTTAGGGACAATGTCCTCATGAAAATTGTGACTTATGCTGAAGAACAATTCTAGACATGGTGATTTCACAAGCTCATTCTCCCTGACCATTTATTAACTCTTCCAAAGCTTACCACTCCCAGTCACCAAATAGGTCCTTTTTTATGGAAAACTGCTGCAGCTGAAAGGTCCATCTCATGCACTTTTGAAATCTGTTTTTGTGTACTGAAAAAAAAATCAATTTATAAGCTTTTCTTGTTATATTTTTTCCCTCCACTGATATTTTAATTTCTGAGTGATTTACTTGGGTAATAGATTATTTTGGTAATTCTGAATCATTACATAAATTGTTCATCCAGTCATTACCCATCTCCCACATTTTATTTTACAGGTATTTACTTGCTTGTCTTCAAGTAAATACCTACAGCCTTATAAAGCAGAACTACAGATACCAGTCCCATTACCCATTTCCACCCAATCTAGTAGACAACTTTCTTTTAATTGTATAAGTGCATAGTGGGAAAAATAAATTCTACAAGTAATTGCAGATCTTTGGTGAACAGAATAGCAGCTGGCTTACAGGCTAAACAAAGGAAGAAACATTTGTATGAGGCAGTAGAGCAATAGTAGACTAAAGCCAAAAGCTAAAAAGAAAAACACCTTAAAATATGATTAATTCAAATTAGCAGACTCGTCAGTCACAGAAGCATGCAAGCATTCTTATCATTATTATTGAATAATAATATGAATGTGTTTAACCTGCTAAAGGATTTATGTGGTTAATATTTATCAAAGTAGTAACTGCCTGAGTGGATACGCCTGAATAGAACTGCATATTTCTGAATCTGATTTGTGCAAAATGTCTTGAATTTGAACATTTCTTACATTTGAAACAGGCTACTTTAGTCTCTTAAGAAGTGATCCAATCTTATGTTGATGACAATTCTCAGTCATTCAGGTAGAGTGGTCTGGAAGTTGAGTCATGGCAACTGAACTTCTTGTTGGTTCAAAATATTTCAGTGCTTATCCAAGTCGCTTCTTCAGATTGAGCAAATTGGTTAGAGGGACCCAATAGATGTCCTCCAAGGAGATCATCTAATCTGGATGGGCTTATTAGGTGAGTAGGCAGAGCAATGTTATGATATAAATGTTCCAACCCCTAAATCCTTTACCTTATTAAGCCTATCCAGATTAGGTAAGAAATTGAACCGCTCTGGAGCACATATTGCCATGTCATCAACTTCCAGTTGATCCAACCTTATCTTACTAAACTCTTCATAAAATAATCAAAACATTACTAGTAAAGTCAGAACAAAATGGCCCACTTTCTGTGAAAGTCAGAAGTTTCACATGCCATAGCAATTCAAATATTCATAGCTGGGTAGAAGTAGTAATAATAGGCACGAACTATTTATCATTAAAAGATGGCTGATCATGTTTTAATCTGCTTTGTGGAAATGAAGAACCTGCAAAATTAACATTACAATTCTCAATGTCTGGAAGAGTGATGGGTGGGAAAATCTGGTGTTTATTTCTTTAAAAAAAAGCTTAAATGCAAGATTAAAATAATCTGCAAAGGTATTTTGATTCAGAATGTACAAACGTTTGCTGATGTGGGCTGATCTGCATTTTCTAATAAAAAGTAAAAATAAAATTCCTAAATCTGAATTGTAACATATGTTTTCTATATAAATAACCTGAAAAATATCTGCTTGCTAATGAACCATCTCTCTCCCTCTTCTTTTGCTCTCCCAAACAAACAGAAAATCCTCTGGCTTCTCTGATTCAAAGATACCCTCCCTTTATGCAACTTGGACATTATCCACTTCCTCACTTTCATCCCAGGGAAGCATCTCAGGGAACCGTCCAGGACAAAGCAGACCTTTGAAATCTCTGGGTTCACCTGTGAGGAATCTCTCTTTGCCCAGCGCTTCAGGGCACACAGTATCACTGAGAAGAGGACGGGGTAGCAATAAGAAGAGTAAGTCCTAACATGAGAAACAAACAAATGGACCTGCTCCCTAAAGGCAGAGATATGACTAGAAATCTTTAATTATACATTAAAACACAGGATGGGTGTAGTAAACATAATAAGCTGGATTAGAAGTCTGCCCTACCGAAGACAAGGATGTATTTATACAGTGTCTGGAAAACCTGGAAAGTGTAGGAGGATCAAATGTTTAGACACTCTGTGCCGGATAAATTTTTATGAGGGGAGAAATCAAGTTAAAATTCTATGTCTCCCTGCTATGTTCCGGGTCTTTGTTTAGAGACTGAAGGGATAAAATAAGAAGCGTTGGCAGCCACTTTAAAAATATGATGCTATGAAGTTCTTGGAAACTGAACAGGGTCAGTGTTCACTCTGGAACAATATTTATGTAGAATTACTATAGAATTATATTGGCAGAAAATAATCTAGGCACAAAAAATGAGTTTGGAGGAAAATAGTAACTATTATTAGGCATCATAATTGAACATGGTATTTTACAGACCATTATACGCATTTGTTTTAGAACAAATGAAATGCTTAGCAGAATCCATTTGGTTCAGTCTTCGGATTAAATGCACAAAGGGTATGAATGAGACTTACTAAAAACTCCTTTCTATATGCTTGTTTCTATTTGGGAATTGGTGGGTTATTCAGGGGCCTTTGTATCAGTATCTGAACAGTAAATACTTTCTTCTGCCTTCTTTATTCCTAATGCTTTGGGCATTTGTTTTTCATTTGGGCATTCTAAGGAAAAATTGGTAGAGTCATAAGGAAACATCAAGGTTGGAGCCTTTGAATAGGTCACAATTTTTCTACATTCTGCCACAGAGCAGCATAGTATAGGTGATACTTAGTTGCTCCCAATAGCTCTTTTATTTAATCATTCTGCTGCAGCCATTGCAAAGTAAGACAAATGACAATACAAAAAGGAAAACAAGGCAAATAAAAACTACAAGTGATGAAACCAAAGTGGTTTCTACAAATAAAAGAAATGAAATGAGTAATGAAGTGAAGCAAATTCCATGGTCCCATTTACAAAATACATAGTTAGAAAAACATATCTGTGCTTCAATCATTAAAAAAAATCCTTAGTGAGAGAAGAAAGATGAATACAACTTTAATTGGATGAATATATGCAAGCTCCAAAGCACCTACTGAGTATTTATTTCAGTTGAAACCTTACACAAAATCCCTGCCAAAGCCTGCGTTTGAGTAGGTATTTAAAAAGAGGAAAGTAATATACAGCCATGTCTTCCTCTCTGTCAGACTATTGTTCATCTTAGTCCAGTGCTGTCTCCTCTGACTTGTTAAGGTTCCCAGTAAATGTTTTTCATGTAAAGTCCAACCTTTCCAGTTCTGTGGACTGGCAGCAGTGGCAGCAGTGAGGGAGGAGAGGAAGTAGTTTTGCATGTGTGTGTGTGCTGCTTGCACAAATGTAGCTTCATGCATTTCTTGCCCGTCCCTTGCACATTCTGGTTCCCAAGGGGCTGTGGATCGGTACTGAGCCACAGACAGGGGGTTGGGGACCCCTGTCTAGACTATTGAACTTGTGTTTCTAGGATAAAACACTAAGCACTAAGGCAAAAGGGAAAATGAGTGAGACATATCATTTTCCTAGTAGTCGATAGAACGAGAGGAACACAGATGAAGTTGCCTCCTGGGGTTCATTAGTTCAGGAGAGAATGAGCTTCAAACGTGCTTCATGCAAACCATGTGCTTTACTGCAGTGTTAGGTCACCCTTGTAACTTCCTCTCTTTGCTGTCTAGTAGATGCCACATAGTACTGATCAGTGGTGGGATTCAAATTTTTTTACTACCGGTTCTGTGGGCATGGCTTGGTAGGCGTGGCAGGGGAAGGATAAAATCTCCAGTCAGGGGTGGTATTTGCCAATTCTCTGAACTGGTATTTGGCAATTCTCTGAACTATTCAAAATTTCTGCTACCGGTTCTCCAGAACTAGTCAGAACCTGCTGAATACCACCTCAGATACTGATCAGCCCAACGTCTGGAATTCAGTTAAATCCTTCAATTCAATGAATTTCTCCCACCCTTTTTAATATGAATTCTCATAACATGAACTTTCAACCATGTGGCTTGGAAGAGCTTATTGTTATCTTAACCCTCCTCTCTTTAATTATTTGTCGTCCCAGGTGGATCTTTACAGAAACCTTTGCAACCAGGAGCCCTTATTCCTTTAACCAACTCTCTTCAGCGACATCCTCCAACTCCAGCACGATCTCAGCAAACTCCAATATATCAATCTATTTCCTCTTTGCCCCGAGGAATTGGCACAGGTGATACAGGAATCAAACTGAGCACTTCTCATAATCCTTCCTTAGTGCTATTGCCGCGAAGCGGAACCAGCAGAGCACCTTCTGTGTGTAGCTCAGTCATTTTGGATACCAGTGAAGTCCCAAAGAATGAACTAGCTATGAAACCACCAGTATCTGCTCCACCTTCCATTCTGGTGAAACCAGACACTTTGAAAAACACCACTGAGAAGGTAATAATAGGGTCTATACCTGAAATAATAGAGCCATAGTTGTCAAATGTTAAGAAAATACAAACTGTTGGCAATTCCTTTTGTGAAAATTTAGTGATATATGTTAAAATGTTGGGACCAACAGCCACATTTGGCCTATTAGCAATAGCACTTAGACTTATATGCTGCTTCACAATCTTTACAGCCCTCTCTAAGTGGTTTACAGAGTCAGCATATTGCCCCCAACAATCTGGGTCCTCATTTTATCAATCTCAGAAGGACAGAAGGCTGGGTCAACCTTGAGCTGGTCAGGATCAAACTGCTTGCATTGGGCAGATTTATCCTGTAAGACAGCATTCTAACTGCTGCACTATCAGGGCTCTTCTTTTTATTTTGGAAAAAGTCTAAATTTAAATTAAATATAGTTAACATGTTTCCCTCGTATCTAATGATTTCTCCTCTTCTAATCACATTAAGAATTCATCGTCATTCATGATTTCTCAGGAAGAAGTTTTCAATCAAACAGACACTACCTTATTTTTTCAGTAACAGCATCAAGTGCACAACATACAGTCTGTTTTCCCAACATACATGAAATTGTCCTTATTCCTGAAGATTATACTTTGGAGTTAAATATGTTCAAGACTGAAGTTAACTGGAATTAATAAACATTTATAAATAGTAATTACTAATCTAGTACTATAATGCTGATAATGTACATAGCATAATTTAAAATTCAGCTAACTTCACAAATATTATTTCAGGGTTCTTCAGAAGAGCATTGTAGGGTAGACTGATTTTATTTCCATATTAAATCAAAAGAATGATCTTACATAAATCTGCTTAAGAGTTAGTATTCTGTTCTTCCTAATCCACAGCAGTTTCTCTTCCATGCAAAGAAGGGCTTCGCTCAGCTACTGATCTCTCTTATTATAATTCAGCTATAAATGGCTCAGTAATTGTGTAGAAGACTCACATAATGTACCTCTCAGAAATGTTTGCTTCTTTACAAAAACATTTCAAGACGAAGCTAGTTCTATAGAAACAACCATTAACTTGCCTTTCAAATTTCTGTTCAATATGCTAAAGTATTACAGATAATATTTTATGAGCGCTAAGGTAACTTGTCTTTTCATATTTTTCTAGGGAAATTGTAGAACAGAATTTACTTTGCTTGTTTGGGAATATGTTTATACAGTGGCATAGCAATATTTCTGGAAGCCTTCTGGGAATAAATTAACTCCAGATTTCTTCATTCTATTTTCAGCAAGTGAAAACAGTTCGATTTCAGAACTACAGCCCACCACCGTCTAAGAAACATAATTCTGTATCTTCACTGAACCCCTCCAATAGCAAGCCTGAACAAGGAGTGATTACAGAAGCAATGCAATCAGAATCAAACATCAAGAGCCCTGAAATATCAGCTTTGTATTCCCATCGCATTATCTCTAGTTCAGTTCATCAGAAGAGAATGTCACATCACAAGACCTCGCCACTGGATCTTTCTAGCCAAACTGGTCACCCAACCTTTCCTACAAAAAAGAATTATAATAGCATCTCTGAGAATTGAGAAATTTAACCTTCTTTAATTGGCTTTGTTTTGGACATGCATTATTACTCATTGTTTGTAAGGATCAGCAACCAGATGGGAGTTAAGTTCTAGGTCTGACCTGCTACCTTTTAAAATGTTTAAATTTTACTAATGGGCTCAGCCTCTTTAGGAGTCTAGAATCTCACCGATGATTACAAGATTCCACCAACACTATGGGAAGTTCTTTTTTATGTGGCTCAGAAGTAAACGTTTTGCTGCATGAGCCCGCAATGTTCTTCAGATGCAAAAACTATCCCAATTGTGGTGCCAATTCTATGATCACTGTTAGATCTAAAAATAATAAAGGACTAGGAACATGAAACCAATTCAAAATCCATATTGCTCTAAGTTCAAAATCTTTACAATTCATTTGTAAACCAGAACAAAGAGAGTTTTGTTTCACTTTGCTTTGTTTTGTTTTGTATTCCAACCAGTTTTAAGCATGGTTTAGCCACCATCCTTCCCTTACGTCTTTTGAAACTGAACTAGCACATCTTTCTTATACCTTAACGTTTCCATTCGCACTTTCCATTGACGTTAGAATTCAGAATGCTTATTTTTTTAGAAATTAAAAATCATTCTTGGCTTCAAAAACATTATCTCCAAGGGAGGTGATGGAATAAATTCCCTGAGCAATTCTCACTTAATAGGAGGACCTATGAGCTTTTCCTTTTCCCTGCACGCAGGCTCTCACCTGCACAATGATTGATGGAGACCAATCTCTCAGATTCTCCCTGACTACCTAGCCTCAGCAATAAATAGAATCAGGATTCTATCACATAAACTAGCTGACTGATGTTTAGAGTAGCGCTATATACACCGTTTGATTTTGTTCCCTTGATTAGTTCAAAGGTTGTGCATTCTAGCCTGAAGTAAACAAGCAAGTTTTGTCATTGCTCCTGCGGTGTCATTTCAATAAATGTTGGAGCTAACAGTCTTGCATGATTGCATAGAACCAATGAAACCAATGCAACACTGGATGTCTGTAAGTGGTATACAGTGTAAGGAAAGTTTTCAAGAATAAGTGCATGTTCATCTTGATGTCTTGCCAAGGGCGAAATAATGTATTCTTCTAGAGCCATATCCTAACTGCCTCTAAATGTATGGAAAGTAAGAAAATGTTCCGGTATTCCACAAATAGAGCAAAACAGTAAATCAAGAGATTAATATTTGATTCCAGACCAATTCATGTCTGGAAAAAACCACTTTAGTTTGCATTCTAAAGGAGCAAAAAAAATCCCAAAAGCTGCACCCCAGATTACTAGATAGAAAAAAAGAGGATATATTATCAGCATATTGGGGTGGGGAGTTATTTTGCTGCCTGAAGACAAGCTCTTCTCCATGTTGAATGGCAGGGGTTTTTTCCCTTGACACACCTGCCAATATATAGAAGAGTTACTTCCCAGATATGAGATAGGTTGTTAACCTATAAAAGAGGTTAAGACCCTGGAGTTCCTGTGAGATGAGCACAATTCTCTGATTCATTAGGATTCATAGTCCTAATAATAGGATTCATAGTCCCTGTTTATAGTTCATTCTGGAACTACCAGAATGCACTACCCAAAAGACATCATAGAATGTGCAAAACAGAGGCAGAATTGCTCCCCCTTCTTGAGTTTACCTATGGTATCTGTCTACAAGTGCTATTTCTAAACATGGACATCTCTAGAGGACAAGGGGGCACTGCATAAAGTTCTATGAGTCTTGGCTTCTGGGCAGCTACAAGCTCTGCTACTAGGTGCCTCAGTTCAGAAATGTGTTGGCCCCCTCCTACAGAGCATCTCACAAGGACAAGGAGGAGTCACAAAAAAACTCTAGTTTTTCCTTGTATTATGTAAGGTCTGGGTAATGCCTGCAAAGAGCTGCCCTGAGAGAGTGACCTGTTTCTTGTAAATAATTTGTAGAAAGGGCTTGCAGCAATTCATTTAGTGACTGTTCAAAGTTACAACAGCACTGAAAAAAAATGACATGACCATTTTTCACAGTTACAACCTTTGTAGCATCCCCATGGTCACGTGATCAAATTCAACCAGTTGCTTGGCAACTGGTTCATACTGGTATGACCATTGCTCTGTCCCAAGGTCAAGTGATCACTTCTTGTGACCTTCTGACAAGCAAAATCAATGGGGAAGCCAGACTCACTTAACAACTATGTGACTAACTTATTAACCGGAATGATTCACTTAACAACTGTGGCAAGAAAGATTGTAAAATGGGGCAAAATTCACTTAACAAATGTTTCATTTAACAACAGGAATTCTGAACTCAGTTGTAATCATAAGTCACGGACTACATACATACACACACAGAGTATGTAAATATATATTTATTTTCTCTCTCTCCCTCTCTCTCTCTCTATCTCACTCTCTCTCGCTACTAATACAAGTCTGATTACCCTCGTTGTGTGTGTACTTATGCCATTTCGTGTTCTTGGTTATCTCACCAGGGTTGTTAGATATGCATGCAATTCTGAGCCCATTTCATTTTGCCTTCCTTCACCCATTTCATAAAGCTGGCCTTCTTTTAGAAACAAGACATACTACATGAGCAAAACTCCATGGGAAAAGCCCTTCGACAGAGCAGGCTTAGATTTAGAATTCATTAACTTAATGCACTGCCGACCTCCGGGGAAAGAAATGGCGACATGAAGCAGAGCCAAAACTGCAGTGGAATAAAGTCACTTACTTTCAGTTGAATTCAACTCACAGGATGGTTATTGTGGTAAAAATAGGAGGGGAAAGGAATATTACGTATGCTCACCTTGAGTTCTATATGAAAAAAGGCAGCATATTTTTTAAAAAAAAACTAAAGGAGAAGGGAAAAAACCTAGTTAAAGGAGAAGGACACTTGCATTTGACTTTCTGATACAGAATGGAGGAAAATATTTTAACATTTGACATATTCAAGGATATTTTTGAACAAAAGCTAATTTTAAGAGCATCTGCATCTATAGATAAACTCTGTTTAAAAGATATTATGGAAGTGGAACAAGTTTTACTAGAGAAGGCTGAGATTGATCTGAAAATGGATTTTAAAATGACAGGCTTCAAGAATGATATGGAAAAAGAGGCTGCACTGGACATACAAAAGAAACAGCTAGGGTCTTAATAATTAAAAATAAATACAAATAACAAACCAAAAGAGTCACCTGAATAACTTTCTTATGTTGGATTTACAAAAGACATTTGTTAAAGCTTTGAAGAATTGTGTAAGAAGGGACAATGAAAAAAATGAAAATAAATCGATTCTAGGACATTATTTGAAGGGATTAAAGATCAAGATTGTTAAAAGGAAGAAATACAAAGTTGGCTTATTTGATCAAGGTTAAAATAGGTAGATTGTTATCTCTGATAACCCATAAGGGACTTTTGCTGACCAGGACTGAACAATAAGGCTTTAAGGATGTGTTTCTAAATAAGAGATGGATATGGGAAGAAGAGATCATTTGTTGTATTTTAAAAGTAGGGGATAAGCTATTAAAATAGTTTATATTTATGATGAACGGGGAAGTCATTTCTTTACATAGTTATTTCTTTTTCCTTTCTATTGTTTTAATTTTTTCGCCCTTTCCTGATTTTTCTTTTTTTAGTATGTCTTAGTTTTTAACCTTTTTATTTTAATAAATTTTGATAAAATCACAATTAAAAAAAATAAGCAATCCACATAATGCATGGGAGGTAGCTTCATATGATCCAGAATTTCCTTCCAATGCAATCAGAGAGAAGCAATTTGTATTGTGGACACAGAGAGAGGCCAAGAGTTGCAATTCATTTCCTCCTTTTTAATGTCCCAATCCATATCAGATCATGCCTGGTGTTTATTCTGTAAGGGGGGAAAAACATCACTACTGGTACAAAAAGTATCACTTCTAATCTGATTCAACGATTAATAAACATTCTGAAAGAGGAATATATTAACCTCTTTTAAAACACACTGGTCGCAAAGACATTCCTGAACAGGCAAGGATAATCATGCCTCCCACAAGAGCATCTAATCACCTAATTGAACTCTCTTCTAAAACTGAATCCTTCTGAGAAGGCATCATTAGTTGGGGTGGTGGGAGGTGTCTATTTATGCCTTCCTCATATGGATGCAAATACACATTCATGAGACACACTTGTGCCAAAAATAACCACAGCTTGAGAATGTGCAGATAAAGTTGCTGGTGAATGCTGTATTCAATGAAAACAGTGGTGGGAAGATGCCAGCTGTAAAAGCGATCCAGAAAAATGAAAAACCGGGGCTCACATATCAGAGCAATAGGGAATAGAGGCAATAGGGAACAGAGAAGTGGGGGGGAACAATTTTCATCCATTTACATTAATGTGCCTGTTTTGAAAAAACAGAGGTGGCTGATTTGATGATAAAGGGGTTTGCAGAGCCAGAGGAACAGTTTGGCTGCATCCAATGAGACTCTTGGCCCAAAGATCTGACAGCCTTGACGCAAAACCATGACCGCCTTATGATTACTTGCCTTTTTAAACAGCAAGAGCCTTGGCATAGAGAAAGCTTTAGCTCATTATTTGCTGCTGTAATTGTTTCCCAAAGGAATTGTTTGAAAACAAAGGGAAAACCTTTCCAATCCAACAGAAGCAGCTGTTTGGAGGTAGTGCTATGGCTCATATCAAGCCTAAACCCATTGCCTACCTCAACTGTGCATTGGCTCAACTGCCAAAGACATGACGTTATAACTAAGGGATATGGGATGAAGGGGAAATAGCCATATAGACCAATACATACAAGCTGAAGCCAACACTTGATTTCAAAGCAAGGAAGACTGAGAACATTCAGCGTCGATAGCAGGATTTTGAAATGTTAGGCAAAGACACTCAGAACTGAATGGTATGCACTTCAATGTAGCATGTTGTAACTGGTGAGCATCAAAGGGTGTGAGGGGGCAAAAAAGAGAATCCCACATCTGAAAGATTCTAGGCCACTTCCCAATAAAGTTTTGGGATTGAATTTACCCGGCAGCAGTGTTGTGGAGCGGCGGAATAACCTGAAGCAAACACGGAGCGAACTTCAGCTTTTACTTTATTGTAGCAATAAAGGGTTGCTGCGGCTGCTGCGCTAACAAGGTAGCCAGCCGGCAGACAACAGCTGATGCCGTTTGACAGCTCCCTTTTATAGCCGGCTGTCAAACGGCATCAGCCAATAGGAACGGTCCATGTTCCCGCTGGAAACACGGACCAGAGTGAAGACTTCAGCTCAGTCTTTTCTGAACGCCACACTCCTTTCCCCCAGAACGGAGCATGTGTAGTCCTTCAGATAACTCAGGTGCTTTCGCAGGTGGCCAGATCTTCTAAGTCCTGATGAAGCTGCTGCTGGAAGGAACTTTTCTGCTTGCTGGGCAACTTCTGGTGCCAACGAAGCTGGCATCTCGGCTTCAGGCTTTTCTGGATGAGGGATAGATGGCTGTTCAGGTAGGCTTGCGTTCCTGTCGGATCCGAGGGAAGTTTCTTTGGGCGCCGGCGGTTTCTCTGTTGCAGGAACGTCTTGAGGGCCATCTGCAGACGCACTCCAACGCCTTCTAAGCTGATCAATATGGCGGCACCAGATGCGCCCATCTTGCAGTTGGACCCTGTAAGACTTAGGACCCGTTATCACCACAATTTGCCCAGGCATCCACAAAGGGTGTCCCGCATAGTTCCGGGCATAGACCTGGTCATTCTCAGCAAACTCCCTTGCCTGGCTTTTTGACCCTAGGGGTGTGACTGGGGCATAATGCGGATGGAGTCTGTCTAGGGTGGTCCTCAGACATCTACCCATGAGAAGTTGAGCCGGAGACCTGTTAGTGGTGGCACAGGGAGTTGTGTGCTGGGTCAGGAGATACTTAGCGAGCCTAGAGTGCCAATCTATAGGCCCAAACCTTGCCAGGGCCTCCTTAACTGATCTGACTGCCCTTTCAGCCAGGCCATTACTGGCAGGATGAAAAGGAGCTGCAAGTGCGTGCCTTATTCCTAGGTTGGCTAGGAAGACCTCAAACTCACAGGAAGTAAACTGGGGGCCGTTATCAGACACGATGGTGTCAGGGAGGCCATGGGTAGCGAATATCCTTGATAGAGCCTTAGTGACAGCTTCTGAAGTTGTGGTGATCATCAAGGTCAGTTCTACCCATTTAGAAAAAGAATCAACCATCACCAGGAATGTACGCCCATGAATGGGGCCAGCCAGATCAATATGCACCCAGGACCAAGGGGCCACAGAATCTTCCCACCTGCCTGGAGTGGATGTGGGTGGAGCAGGTCTGGTAGCTTGGCATGGCTGAC